TAGACAGCTTTGAAAGTATTCAAGTTGTGTTGGTATTTTAAGTGTTTTGAATACCTTTCTTGGATATTCTTGATAAACATCCTCACATATTCTTTTTCGGTAGGAGCTTTGACCATATTAGCAGAAGTTTCCCTCCATTTATTGAAGAAAGAAGTGAAACCTTCGTTTTCCTTTTGTTTTAACATCTCAAGTTGTCTGTGGTCTGTTTCATCTTAGATGTTGCACTTATATCTATCTATGAAATCGTTTGTTATCGACTCCCAAGAAGAAGTTTTTTCTTTTTCAAGGGAGAAAAACCATTGTTGGCAAACGGTTTCAAGAGATAGTGGGAACAGAGAGGGAAAAAACCTTCTTATCGATACCCTTAATGTTCATTATTGTTTCAAAAGCTCTTAGATGGAAGTAAGGGTTATCTGTTGCCTTGAATTTAGGGATGTCAGTGGCGTTGAACTTATGCGGAAGAAGTTCTTTATCCAGCGAGACCCCTTGCGAGCTCATGCCCTGAAATTTATAGTCACTAGATAACTTGCTCAGACTCTCTTGCATGAGGTCCATCTGTTGTTGCTTCACGGGATCATCAACCTTGAGTGTGAGGAGCTTCAGTGTTTCAGTCATGGTAACCAATTGGTTCCTAAGCTCATTGACTTCTTCTTGAGTTGCCATTATCTTTTTAGCCTTCCTCTTTTGACGAATCGGTTTATCAAAAAGCGAGACTTGAATAAAGCGGTTGTCCTTGATTAATCGCCCTTCTCTCCTCGACCAAGTACTGTGGAAAAGGAATTTGGGGATACTTATTGTAATTATTTGACTCAAACTTTATTCAACATGCAATGGATGGAGGAGGTGAAGAGAGGTTGGAATAAAAAGTGAAAGAAAATTTAGATGGAGGGATATGGAGAATTAGGAATAGAATGTACCCCAACTCAAATGACGGAAAGATCGACTCATGCATGGACCTACGACATGGTCATGGTGATGTGTGCTAAGACTAGTGAGTGTAGGTGACATGTTAAGACTCGTGTCATGACCATGTGGCTAAACTATGTGACCAAGACTCGATTAATGACTCGACAAGGTGTTATTGACAGCGAAAATTAACCGAATTAATTAGTAAACTGGCTAATTAGACATTAGGTGATGACTCGACAAATAATCCAAACTGTCGGCCAAGCGACAGGACTGGCGTCGCAATATGGTGGTTGGCGCCAGACTTTTTAGTAAATGTCTGGCGCTACACACCATACAGTGGCGCTACAGCTCAGATTTTGGCACCAATATTGGAGCCTTGGTCTGGGACTGTTTTCGATATTATTAGTCAACTGGGGTATGCCTAAAGTCGTACTAGGTCAATTCCGATTAAAAGAAGAAAAAACTTTATTGACTCAAATTAATTAATTAATTAATTAGATAGGCAAAGTTCTTTAAGTCATTAATTTTAGTCTCAACACAAATCAACAAGCGGTTAAGAGGAGCATAGAATATATATGCACAACAAATAATGCACAAGTAGTCAAGTAGGCACAATATGATGCAATGAGTTCGCAACCTAACCATGGCTCTAGTTCTCTAAAGTTCGGGATATGGTTTAGTCAAATAGGGTCCATGGTTAATTGTCCAGATGCACCGCGTAGAAGCCTAACCGTGAAGGGTTAACGCGTGTGGATAGGACACCGCGAGTTTTTAGAAAAAACTCACTTCCATGGTTTGGTGAATTCAACCTCTCAGATGTACCCTTTGTTGCCAGGAGCGTTCAATCGGGTAGATAGAGCATGAATTCCCAGAGGGTTATGTCCATATGTAGAACACATATGGGTTTCAGAATAGTGAGAAAAAAAAATCAATCAGGAAGTAGGATCGAGCAAACAATACGAAAAACCAGTCGAAATTAGAACGCATATTTCTGGCTCAGTATTGGGGGAAATTGGCGCCAGCAAACAGAGACTGGCGCCAACTTTTAACTGTAGCGTCTGGCGCCAATATTGGCGTCTGGCGCTACGGCTAAATTTTTGGCGCCAAGCTGTGGCCCCTGACGCTACTTCCCACATGCCTCAGCAGCTTTCTGTGCTCAATAAAATCACCGAGTTTCGCGCGGTGTTATTTCATTCCTAGTTGTCAAAGACATTTCTCAAATTTCCTACGTGTAAAATCCTATGTTTTTTACTCATTACGGATGGTCTTTCCAATGAGAACCTTTTTATGCATATGACAATAATGTTAAGCAAAATTACGCACATGAAATACTTAGAACTTTTCGAGTCTCATCCACTCATTCTAGATCATTGCCGAAACAAATTCAGGAATTAAAATAGAAATCCTCCCCAGTGGAGTCGCCAAAAACTGTGGGGAATAGTTTCAAGCCTTTAAAATCCCACTAGCTTGAACCCCACTGTGATCATACACTAAAGTACGGTGGCGTCCAAAAGGGAAGAAGATAGAGCAAAAGAGTCGCCAACAAGTTTTTAAGGAACTTGTAAACCGTTCATAGGATGAAGGTTACACCCTTTAACGATCCAATAGATCGTCAACTCCATAAGGTCATGAACCAAATAAGGGTTCGGGGATGATGGTACAAATCCAACCTAAAAGAGATTGAACCTGCCCTAATAATAGACCTCTACTTTATTCTGCTCGTATTCATGTGCGCTTTCTGATTAACATACAATCAATAGGATTAACCCTAAACCTGTTTAATCTATGTTGGTTGAATTTAATGCACAAATAAATCTATTATTGGCGATCACTTGGAATATAATCACAATTAACCATAACAAGATTATTAATTATCTTATTTAGCGTGATTGCAAATACCAATTCCCTTTAACATGCATAAAAGGTGTGATCAAGCAATAAAGAATATAAAATAATCAAGCAACATAATAAATAATCAATATCATTAATAATAATTATAATAATCATGTTAAAGCATAGCAAGATCCTAGGCATGATACTAACAAGATTAATAACAAATCCTAGCATGTCACTAAGCAATAAAAATCAAATCTTTAACCCTAACATGATACTAACAATCGTAATTATTAGGAAGAATATAGGAAGCATCGTACTTTTAATCATACTTGATATTAAAGTTATCCTAGACATGATACTAGGAATATCATAATAACAATATAAACATGATATCTACATCATAAAATTAATCAAATCATTAAAGTACTTACTTGGATGCCTCGTATCTCTTTCTAATAACAAAATACACGCGTTAGTAACTTCAATGAAAATAATAATCAAAACAATTAAATTAAATAATTGAAAGAGAGATTTGGGACCAAACCTTCAGAAATTAAACCTTTCACGTCTAGGGCGAAGACAACTTCGAATATGGCTAGGTGTTTCTAGATCTTGTGAATGCGGAATTTTGTGTTAAAAAGAAAAGTATAGAAAAGAAAGAATGAATGTTAATGAAAAGGATTATTTGACTGTAGATGAATGCTAATTGATGAATAATTATTGATAATTGGTGAATGAAGAGAGTTGATTAAAACTTAAGAATGAAAAGAATTGGTGAACGATAGATGTAGATGATGAAGATAGTTAGTGAATGAAAATGGATTGATGATGATTGAAAACGGAGTTTTTGATACAATATTTATAGAGAAAATCATCCAAAAAAGATAATTTATCAAAACAGAGTCTGAAGACCGAAAAAACACATTGGCGCCAGGACCAGTGGCTAGCGCCAGGCGCCAATCCTGATTTCAGATGCCAAGGCCTGGGGTTGGAAGCCAAATCGGCTTTTAACGCGTTTTCGAAAATCTAATAAATTTCCCGTACTGGAAGATAAAATAATATAATTTCAGTCGAAAATGCTATTTGATCTTGATTAAAACTCTGAAGAATCCTAATTGAATTAGGAATGAAAAGAACCTTCTAGAATGTTCTAGAAGACTAAAACCATTCCTAATTGCATTAGGAATGATAAATTATATTAGGCCCTCCCCTAGATCATTGGGCCGTACTTAAAGCTCAAACCGGGCCCAGTTTAGTAAATTGGCCATAAATTCCTCAATATTCATCGGAATTGGGCTTATAATATATCGTTGGAAAGGTCTTTGAAAACCCCTTCCAAATACACCACCATTGGACCCATATCATGGACCAACCAAAATGGATTGGCTGTTTTCTTAAAATAAAGTTTTCAAAAACAGAGAGAAGAGAAAAGAAATAAAACTTTCCGCAACACTAGACCTTTCCACACTTTCGTTTCATTCGATTATGATTCGACGTGAAAGGTACTCATCACTGGGTTTGGTTTTGGGGAGACGCAAATGGGTGTCTACAGTTTGTTGTGTGCTGGTAATTGTTAATTTTGTTGGTGTATGGTGTTGGTTGTGTGGTGTGTGAATTGATGCATGTTTGTTGGTGTGAATTGATGCCTGTTTTTTGGTGGGAATTGATGCCTATTTGTATGGTGTGTGGTGTGTGAATTGATGCCTGTTTGTTGGTGTTGCTATTGGCTGGTATTCTATTTGTTGGACCATATGGGTTGTTTAATACTGAGCACATCACTTCAGAGTCCCTCGTTTGTTAATGTTGGCATGTACTTGTTGGTGTTCCTATGCATTTGAGTCCCTTACATACAATGAGTCCCCCCTATCTTGGTATGCAGTGCATGTTTTATTTCCATATGATGATGGGACTCACCTTGCTACTTGAGTGGTCTGGATGCTCCTGAAACCTCTTTTTGAGGTTTGATGTTGAGGTACCAACACTCACTAAAGCTTTGACTGAATACACACCCATTCTGATGGAAATAGTAGTTAATAACAAAGTTGTAAGAGTTGTGCTATTACATGTTTGATTTAACAAAAGGTAAAGCCTAAACTCATTACATGACTGCCTAAAGAATTTGTTGCTTCTATTTACCAAAAGGACACATAAACTAGACATAAACTCACTCAAAAAGTTGTTAGAATATTAAAAGGTTATGTGTGGCAGTCATTTGTTGAGTCCCTCTTCCATTTGCATTCATCTCTTCCTGTGCTTCAGTCTGCATCCACTTCCATGTGTCCTTGATCATCACCTGTATCTGTGACTGAGTCTAAAAATTGAACAACTTGACCAATGAGATTCCTGTCTACTTCTAATAACTGTGGTGGTAGACCTTGACTGTCCAAACTTCTCTTCTTCATGTGAGGGGGAGAGAAGTTGTTCCCACCTTGCTTCTCTAGAATCTTAATCAAGCATGAATGTAGTGTAATCCATGTGTACTTGTTCGAAACTAGATCAAACTCTTCAAAAGCTCTAGCAACTTCTTGTATGAGCTCATCTAGATTCCTTGGGAATGATTGGTATTGGAGTGATTGAATGATACTAAACAAACCTAAATCTAGAACATTTGGTGATTGAGCTGGTTGAAAAATGAATTGAATGTTGAATCCATGTGCATGACAAGCTTCCTGAAAATCTTCATCTTTTGGAACTTGGTGAGGTCTTGCATTTTCCCATTGGATGATGATGTCCTTTGGTAGTTGTTCTGGCCACTTCTCATAGATTGTTGGAATGACATGTGTGAGCAGCATATCCCTGATGCATTCTTTTGTCACACTTTGAAGTGCCTTAGTCTCAAGAGTTCCTGCATCTCTGTTTTTGCTTTTCTTTTTGGCCATTTCATACTTCACAAAAGGAAAGAGACCATACTTTCCATCATGTATCATGTTGTTTTGCTCATCAAATAAAGGCTTCCCAATCATTCCCATGAACATTGCTTTTATCTTGAATCTCCTTGATTGTTGTGCCCTGTATGGATCATCCTCTGTGGGTAGCAAAAAAAATGTTCTTGTCTCTAGATTTATGTAGAACCATTTTTCATCCAAATGTATCCATTGCTGCATGTTTTCGAATTTTGGGTCCCCTACTGCTAGAATTGGATCAATGTGACTTGGTACCCATTTGAGTCTTGATACTTTATGCTTCTTTGTTAGAGCTGGATGATTTGTGTTGATGTGTGTCCTGAGCCTGCCTTATTGCCTTAGTCTATGCAGTGCTGTTTTTGGTATTTTAAGTGCTGCAGCATATCCTCTCTCTGTCCATCTCTTGTACAGTGGTACTGAATTTCATCTGTGTACACTTTTGGTTTGAGTCCTGTCCTGCCCAATTTTTTGTTTTCAACAACAACCGTAGTTTCTTCTGCATACTTTGAAATATCTTGTTGTTGTGGATTTGTGCACTGAACGTTTTCTAGCCAAATTGGCTAAGAAGCCTCTTGGCAATGAGTCCCCCTCCATGTGCAACATATCTCATCAACAAGTGTTCTTTTCTGTTCCACAGTCAGTTCTTTGTTTGCTCTGACTTCTGTTGTGCTTCATGATTGTTTGCATCATCATCTGCGTCATACCCATCAGCATTGGCTTGCTCTTCTTGGTTTTCTTCGGCATCTGAATCGTACCACCATGGATATTCTTCATGGATGAATTCAGCTTCTATGAATTCATCATCCAATGCATGCTGAGATTGAATGTACTCATCCATAAGTTCATCTATGAACTCTGCCATGAGTCCCTTTTTTTTTCAGGGTGGCTTTTTGGTGATGAAGTGGTGGCTGGTTTTTTTTTTGGACGGTCTTCAACGGAGCCTATTCCTGTAATTACAAAAGCTGCATCTACTAACACAGCTGTAGGAATTAAGATAATGCTAATCTTGGTTTAGATTGATGTAATTTGATAGGCCTGCCTATATTTTGAATTAACAAAACTTAATTTATGGTGATGTAACCTAACTACACTATCCCCCTCCCAACCCCTCCCCAATTCCCCTAAAACTGCTCTTTTGAAATGGGATTTTGAAAAGAATGCCCTGCTTTTATATGGGGCATTTTGTTTGAAGTTGAATGAAAATTTTGAATATTGGGGGAACTTGATAAAAATTTGAATTTTGGTGAAAAAGTGGGAGGGAAACTAGGTGGGAAGCAAATTTCCCATCTGTTTGTATGCTGCTAGAAATTTTGGGTGGGAAACTCCCACTAAAAAGCAAAAAGTACAAGTGGTCCTAAAAAGTCAAATAAAGGGACCACATGTATTCCCTCCATATTATTCCCCTAATTATTTACCCTTACTTTTTCTAATCAACCCCTTAAAAGTTTTGCCTCGCCCTCCGCAATCACCCCCAAAGTTGCAACTAATGTGGACCGGAGGTAGTATTACTAGGGTAGTTGACAAACCAACTCTAACATGTGGTGTATTATTTAAACTCAATCATAATTAACCTCTTTTTTCACTTCAAATCGACTCTAGACAACATTTCTCAAAAAAAATAAATAAATAAATAATTCTTTAGACAACATACATAGTCTTCAGCCTTTAAAGATGCAAAATAGCTCAATCTATTAACATCATATTACCTTCGTTTTTTTAGTTGACACGTTTTGACTTTAGCACTATTTACATACTCTCCTTTGACCCTGTTTTGTGGTTTATACATAATGAGAAATATAGTCATGTGGAATCTTATTAGATTCGTCATGATATATATTTTCAAAATATCAAATTTTCATAATTTTTGCTTATCGATAATTAAACATATGAATGGTTGAAGTTGTGCGTTGGTAAACGTGACTAAAGAAACGTGTCAATTAAAAAGAAACGGAGAAAATATTACTACCTCCGTTACAGGTTATGTGCAACGATTTGACATAAAGCAGAGAGGGAAAAAGTCTAATCGTTGCACATAACCTGTAACGAAGGTAATATTTTGCAATACGAAACCAAGTTTACAAATAGATACTAATAGATCGAGCATGTGTCGTGTTACTCATGTATATGCAATGTTTGACTTATGTATGTAGGATCTTTGGAGCATATTAAATGAACTACTACGTATATGAAGTATATGTTACTTATTATTCTTCTCCTTTAACTAACGTGAAACACACAATAATTGGAAACTAAAATCCTTAATATGTTGTATTATTCATGTACGGTCATTAGCTATATTTAGGGCATGTTCTTATTGACTAAAATGAGCTGAAATGAACTGAAAATAATCTAATGAGAATAGACCCTTATACTCGCCTTACCATATCTAAACGTTCCTAGAGTTTAGACTATATATTGAGTAGAAAATTATCACTTCACCACGAATCTAGCCATTTGTTCCCCTTGAAGAACTTTCGCTATAGCTATTATATGATCAAAGAAGATGCTTCATATAATCACGGTGCCATTGAAATTAAAAGATATGAACTTATCAAGATGGAAAACACATCCATACATGTCTACAAAGAAGGGGACCATATATCTACTTGCCTCATGGTCTTTATTTTTTCAGATCCAAATTTATTTAATTAATTTTACCCTTAGCAAATTATGGCTTATTTTTGTTTTTATGCAATTTTTTCTCAATTTTTTGGCATTTTTTGGGCTTTCAGTACAGCACAAATTACTCCAAATTGGATGGACAAACATCAAAGTTGATGCATGTCCTTTTTATTGGAGTAAATGTTAATAAAATAATTTTATTGTTATAAATAAGATTAATTATTGGCAGAAAATGGGCCATTTGGGGTCCTTTTCTACAGGATAGCAATAAAAGTTTGGGTTGCAAAGGCAGTGTCTGTCTTTTCTTAAACAGACAACTTTTAATTTCTTACTCTGACTCTAATTTGGCTTTGTTTAAAAGTCCACTCTTTTCAATTGTTTGCTTTCTTTAACCAATCAGGTTGCTCTTCTTTGGGTCCAATCTAAAACATTTGTAGCTCAGTCTTGTTATCCTAATGGTTTTTATTAGTTTGTCAACCACGTACCTTTATAAGGGTAACGATCTCATCCTTTATACCATAATCTTTAAAGTCCTGACCACTACTACATAGATAGCAATACGCCAATACAGTTGTCTCTCCACCAAGAGTTAGGTTGTATAAAAATGAATACGAATATATACGAAGTATACGAGAAAACACTAGTGAAAAAATAAATAATAATATGCTCATGACATAACATATTCTTTGCATTACAAAATAATTTAATTAAGATATTAGAAAAGAAGTCATTAGAACATTTTGTTCCAATTTTATAAAAATGAATTTCTTATTCTCCTTTACTATAGTACATAATATGCTGTAATAAGTCCTAGTACTCTCTCTGTCCCTAATATAGTTCCCGTTTTCCTACTTTGAATATCTAAAATATTGTTCATGTTTCTAATTTTGAATAATATGTAAAGACCATTATACCCTTACTTTTTAATTTTATTCATTGCACTTCCTAATTTACTCTTGAATTTTGCACATACTTTGTACTTTTTTCACCTTTTCTCTCTAACTTTTGTCTATCATTGTATTTTTCCCTTTTATTAATGTACTTTATCCATTTTCTTCTTTTATTTCTTAAATACCGTGAAAAAACACAAACAAGAACTATATTATGTGATGGAGAAAATAGTAATTTTTATACAATATGTATTCGGGCAAGCCTTAGGGGTGTCCATTATGTTTTCAGTTTGGATTTAGGTCAAATCCAATTTGATATGAAATATAATTTGGTTTTCAATTTTTCAATCCGACCCGATCCGAAGTACTATTCCAATCCGATCCAAATTAAAATTCGGTTATTTAATTTGGATCTGATCCAAAAATCCGAATTAAAAAACGTTGATTTTATAGCATCTAATAAACTAGTGCAATAATATAAAAATAAGAATGCAATTATAAAAAAAAAAACATTTTGTCTAATTTTAAGAGTAATACAAATCTTGAAAATAGTCATGGTTCACTAGTAGAATAAAGGGGAAAGGCACTGGTTCAAACCCCTTGTATGCCACCGGTTTGAACCGGTGAATGTGTGGGGGGTGGAAATTCCTCCCACATTTGTCACCGGTTCAAAATCGGTGGTATAAACAGGTTTTGGAACTGGTTAACCGGTGTTTTTAATGATTTTGGCCATTAGTTAACCGGTACCAATAATATTTCTCCGCACATTTTTTTTTTGTGGTAGTCACCTTTTTGCACTGGTTAACCGGTGCCATTTCGCTATATATATATATATATATATATATAACACAAAGGATAGTAAGTAATTAATGAATAATAATATAGTTAAAAATTTTACAAAACATAAATTCACAATAAAAGCGACATTTACATGTTAAAGGTGATAAAAGACGCCAACATGTCTCGAACTTCATTAAGTTCCTTGATTGTCAACGGATTATCCTTTTGTACCTTGCAAAACTTGAAATACAAAAAAAAATTATGTTAGGAGTAATTAAATAGGCTAAACAATAAGTATTTTATTAAAAATGGCCTATATGACTTCTACTTTGCCCATTTTCTACATTTCTTATCAAATGAACTATTTCTTTCTTATAACATGTCAATGTTGGCTATTATTAGGTGTCTATGGCTTGAAATCACATCAATAAAGCATTTTATTAAGATTTAAGACGCATTTAACTCAAAATGGCCCAAATATGGCCTATATGACTTCTACGTTGCCCATTTCCTACATTTCTTATCAAATGAACTATTTATTTCTCATAACATGTCAATATTACCTAGTATTAGTTGTCTAAGGCTTAAAATTGAATTAAAAGAGCATTTTACCAAAAATTGTCCTAATATAGCCTACATGCATGACTTCAATTTGGCCCATTTTCTACATTTCTTATCAAATAATCTATTTCATTCTCATAGCATGTCAATATTATCTAGTTTTAGGTGTATAAGGTTAGAAATCACATCAAAAGAGCAAATTAACAAAAAATGGCCCAAATATGGTCTATATGACTTCTATTAAGCCCATTTTCTACCTTTCTTATGAAATGAACTATTTCTTTCTCATAAAACGTCAATGTTACCTAGTTTTATGGGTCTAAGGCTTGAAATCACATCAATAGAGCA